CAAAAGCATCCAGTGCTGTGAGCCAGGGTGTTTCTGCTACAACTTCTGGAAACCTGATGGTTTGGAGCAGCTTGAAGTCTGGCTGCACACATTTAGAACAGAAAATCTGTTTCACTCTCAAGTTTAAATGCATAGAACAGAGCATCCTGGTTCTAGYATGTGCATGGGGAGTTCTAGTGGGTTAAGATTTATAGTGCAGTTGTTGAGTAGCCATTATTGATAATAACACTTCTGAACAGAGTATCTACTCTTATGCTTGTCCTCCTTAATCCACATCACTAAATAACTGATGATCTTAAAGGATCCTTTCTTCTCTTCATGAATTTCCATGCCATGAGCTCCCATACCTCCTCTTTGGTACACAAGGGATTCAATCAAGGTTGAAAGGAGTTATTTGATAAATTTTGGTTTTTTTGCGTCCCTGTTTCAAGGGCTGCTGCCAGAACAGAAAAACAGGGAGTCCATGGTCTTCACATCACAGCAGGATTTTAGATGACATTTCAGAGACAACGGGAAAAAGTACTGACTTCTATTTAATATTAAGATAATGCAAGAATGCTTGAGAAGATGTAGGCTAAGTCTTTTGGCTGAAGAAATAATAGTTACGGAAATTACAGTGCTGTAGATAGAGGCACAAATACCTTCTGAGGGTATAAAWGTGAAGTTACTAGTGCAACAAACTATATTTATTCCTACTTTTGTGATATAATGATATTGATTTAAAGGAAAAGAGACATGACTTTTATGAAGCATATGGGAGAGAAATTATGCCCCTTTACCAAAGCGTTAAATTTCAAGGAACTAACATTTCTAAGGGAAGTCCCAAATCCATATAATACTCTTAATGTTCTGCATCACAATGCTTGTGCTCTGACCTTTACCTCAACAGATATATGTTTGAAAATATATTTGTCTGGACAACTGCTTAGTGGTTCAAAGACTGAAAAGGCTGCTATATAAATTACTCTAGCTAAAGGCTGCAATGTATTTAACACTTTCATTCAAACCAGATTTGATTTTTAACACTGTATTTAAATATTTTCCCTCTCTCAAATACAAGCATCAAACCAGTTCTGCCAACGTTTGACACAATTCAAATATATACGGAATAAAGTCCTATTTGGATTCAGAGTTAATARGAAATGAAGTTGAAAAACTTGGGAATTCTTTATTGCATTTTGCAGCTTTCTCTGGTTGCTTTTGAGACATAATACACTGCAGATTTCCTAATAAAATTTTCACCAATRTAAGTTCTTGGCATACTGAGGATAAAATTAGCTCACAGAGACAATATTGGCAAAGAATTTAAAAAATGGAAGACTGTGAGTAAAATTCTGCCTTCAGTTATCCCCAGGCATTCCTGAGGGGATTTTGTGAAACTGCCAACAATAAATGAGGGTTAAATTTCACCTTTTTTTATGTATGTGATGAGAATTTCATTTATGCAGTTTAAGTGAAGAATATATATGGCAAGCATGTGAAAGCTATGCATAGGATACTCAGAAATGTAATAAAGATGTCAAACAGTCCTGTCTTATTTGCTAACCTGGATTTGAATATGTGTCTCTTTTTTCTTTATTTCAGGTTCAGGAGTACTCAAAAAAAATTGACCTGTTTCAGCAGCAAATCCTCAATCTAACCATCAGAGTGCAGCATATAGAGATGGGTGATGTAWCTTACACGGAACTGGACTTCCAGTTACTGAAAATGGAAATCAGTGACCTAGAGAGACTGGTCACTCAGCTGAAACCCAACCTTGTTGGAAGCAACGCCGTCGTTGAGCAAATATATTTGGAGGTATTGCCAAGGTCTTAATCAGCCACAGAGAATTCAAGTACACAGATAGTCTATTCTCTCTTTAGTGTTTAGGTTGAGTGAATGGAGTCTCTCACTACTGCAGCCAGTGGAATTATTTTAGCATTTCATCAGCATAAATTAAAATAAAGCTTGACCTTAAATTTATTAACATCTTATTCCTTGATACAGAGCCCAGAAAAGTAAAGAACCCCCAAAACAAGTGGAGACCACTCTCTTTTTGCCGAATATCTGCCTGACAGTTAAAAGTTTTGCATAGTGTTAAACACAGAAGCTGATTAAATTATTATAATAAATATTAATTTACAGACCCCCATGCTTGAAAGCCTCTGTACTTTAATTTAGATAATTAAAAAAATTAGCTTCTGGTTGCTAAGGCAGTGGCCCAATCAATATGAAATCAAGAAGTGGGAAAGACTATCACCTTCCCAGCAGACTATAAATCACATTTTCAAAATTRTAGTTAATCACTCACCTAGAGAGAATAATTACTTCAGATGGAAAGTGAAATATCATTTTCTCCATTGTCCTCTAGATCATCAAGCAGGTGATTAAAAACACTATTTATCTTTGCAAATAAATTCTGCAGATACTTTTGTAAGGCTGGAATAAGCATTTTTTATATTTAACAGCTAGTACTTGCCTAAGACTTACTGGCTATTTTTGCACTATGTGTAAAATAACACTGTATTTTTGCATTCTGTTATACAACTCAGTCTTAAAGCATTTCCTTGTGGTCACATACTCTGCTGGAAATGTCAAGCTGAGGCTAGGAGAATAAGACCTATTCTTAGAGATATTTCATAAAACCTTTTTCTATAGATTTTACTGTGATGTGATCAACCCTGCCTGCAAATATCTGTGAAGTAAGGTTGACATGAAACTTGYTGTCTTTTTTTCCCCTCTAGATCACCAATCTGACTATACTGGTAAATGAACTGGAGTCGCTGGACAAAAACAACGTCCTTGCAATTCGTAGACAGGTTGAGTCTCTGCAGAATCGATTGAAAGAGTGTGAAGAGAATGCAACCAAAACTACACCACCTCCTTATTTCCCACCAGGTAGGCATYTCTCTTGGATATCACACAAGGAATAACATAATAYATGGTTAGAACTTTAAATGCAGTTRCRTTTCACTTTGTTAATATTAAATACAATTGTAATGATATTCCTTAGCTCTTGAAAAATGGAGCAGACAGCTCCTAATGTTTCATCAATGGTTCAAAAGGAAAATGAAGGCAGGAATCAAATTCTTACAGACAGAATAGCTGTTTTCAGCTGGAAAAAGTTGCAGTCTTCCTCTTACCTACAGTGTGAAAAGTGTATCTCTATCCCTCTTCTCTCTTTTTTTTTTTCTTTCCAGAACAATTACTTGTGGGAAATGATGTTTTCTTACTAACTAGCTTTGATTTTTAGTAGCTCCTCTGCAAGTGACTGATGTTATGGCAATATTGCTCTGATGCTGCTTGGAAAATGTATGAACAACTGTTGATGTACTAAAGCTGCTGATATGCAAGCTCCAGAAGGGAGCTTTGCATGAAGATTACTTTTGCTTCACAGGCGAAAGATTCTTCTAAAACAGAAGGTCAAGAGACCTGGGGACAAATTCTGGTCTCAGGGAAATAAGGGGGTGCTGTGTTACTGATTTCAGCGGAATTAAGATTTTATAGCTTTCTTAACTAGGAAAGGTTGTAGGGCCTGGATCAGTGGCTCCCAGAGAGAAGCTCATATAATGGTGTTAAGAGTTATGGGGTGTGATAATTAGTTTATAACKGAAAGAATTTTTGTCTTGACATTGTGTTCAGTTTGAAAAATCACATTGTGAGTGAATTGTAGTCTGAGAAATTTTGCGAGTCAGACATGATACAAACCATTTTTTGCAACAATGGAGCAAACCATTTTGGAAACACTAGATTAGATATGTCAGGTCAAGAATCCCACTTGCTAACAGACAGGAGGGTTTCTAAAACCATGCTGGTCCCCTGAGTGTTTTGGGCACAGGGGGTTCCTATAGGCAGACTATTGTAAGAGCAAAATTGCTGTGTTGTACACAATACCCAGGGGAAAAATATCGCTTTTTCACATCAGCTGGTTAACAATCAGCTAGAGGAGCCATRATAGAGGAGGAGTGGTGTCCTGCTTTTAAGGAGCACAAATTTGCACCTACCAGCATTTACGTCTCATCACCCTGGGGTCAGCTAATTCAAACACCTCATTGAAAAGGTGAGAGGCAGAAATACAAGATTCCCTTAGGGTGAGCAGTCCCTTCTCAGGGCTTCATGGCGGTGCAAACAGTTGTTGCGCTTCTCTGACAGAATACATGAGTAACACCTTGTCTGGGAATCAGACAGAAGAAAAATCTGAAAGAAAAACCTGCAGTAAAAAAATCTCATGGCCTTTCTCTGCTCCTTAAGGAAGGCCTTAAAATATTCCAATGAAAAAAACTTCACAGTGTTTTAGAAGTACTTGAARGGCATCTCACTGATTTATTGAGGGTGATGGTGTGTGGAAAGAAACAATCTCGTTCTCTTTAAGCCTACAGCAAGCTTTTGTTTTGGTGAGAAAGKACTGAGCTCTGGAACAAGAGTGTTGTGTCCTTCCATGAGTGATGGAGGAGAGGGCTGCTTTTATGTTTGGGTRGTTGGCATGTCTGTGGGACATAGCAGCTTTCACCATGTAGGAAAGGGAAGACTAAACTTCACAGTGCAGTWCCATGCATGCCTAGAGCAGAATGATAGCTTCAGGATTGGTAAATGTAACTGCATGGAATTGGGACTTTACATATTCAATATGGTTTCTCAGGGCATGGTAGGGAAATGGATAGACTTTATCTGGGACCAAAATGCTTTAGCACKGCCTTATGCCTGACTGGTGTGCCAGTTACATTTGCATATGGCAACACTGCATTGTAGCAAAAAGGAACAAAGGAGATCARAACCCTACCTGGTATAACAACTCCCAGAGAATTATCTGCACTGGCATCAGCTGAGGACAACCTCTGTTTTTTTCTGTGAGTTTTTCTGCCCAGAGGTAGGAACCTGGGAGGGGTTGAAGGTTGTGATAACCCAGGTGCTCTGTAGGCTCAGATCCCTGCTAATCCACACAGGACGAGAATATTGTGGTTTTGTGTGACTAATGGGGAGCAACTGTCATCTGTGCAGAGAACTTTTTATAGCAAGTACATGTCCTGCAGACTGTATCTGAAAACCCACAGAAGCAGTGAGATGTTTTTGCTTGGGGAGATGGAGTAAGTATGTGAGAGAGCTGCATTTCTTAGCTGGCAATTTTGGAGGAACTACATGGATGCTAACACCTAGGCCTCTGGAGATTTCTAGCACCCATTTGTTGTTTGAATACAATTTCCATATGTTTTCTCTGCAAGCTTGAATGCCTTGAATTCCTGCCAAACCTCTTGGCCTTGCCCTGATTTCAGTTCATACTATATTTATAATGTTTGTATTAAACTGACTCTTTGTCCTGTTTTCAGATTGCTTTTCCTTTCCCCCCTCATCCCCTCTCCTGCATATTTTGGGCAGGCAACATGAACTAGAGAGAGCTTGGCTAATCCCCAAGCTGTCTAAGATCATGAGTCTAAATGCAAGTTTAATTAAAGCTTCTTGCTTCGCACTGCTGTAGTATGCAGCCCCTCTGACTCTGTCCCCCAAGGCTTTTGCTGCTGTATTTCTCAGAGTGAGCAGGACTGTTCTCAAATGACACCTAAGAAACAAATCACTGGTTTCTATTTGCCTTGCCCTCTGGAGAGGTGGGTGACCAAATATCGGATATAAAGGTAGTCATCCCCCTCTGTATCACTGGCTTTCCTTTCTACAAAGGTTCATGGCATCTCTCTCCTTACCACTCCAGTAGGAAAAAATATTTACCCATTTATTTTYCTTTGGACTGATCTCATGTGGCTGCATTGGATAGGTATAGAAAAAAAGACCCCAGGATGGTCCTTTGAGGACTCTGCAGCAGRTTCTATGTTACATCTCACTGAAATGATCTGAGAGAGGAAGCAGGGAGAAGTGAGTCAGATGAAATTCAAAGGCAAAATAGATGAAAAAAGGAAAAAAGGAACAATGTTTTTTTGTTTTTTTGTTTTGTTTTGTTTTGTTTTGTTTTTCTTCTGGCTTTTATACACTCAGAAATTAGGGATTTCAAGCTACTGTTGAGTAGGTTTGAGCAGGAGGAATACCTGGAACAGCCTAATGCTGAAACTCAGGCAATTTGTTTCGAGTCTTGCAGTGATTTCACTCTTACCTTTTATTTTACCTCCTATGGACCCAAGCTGTCTGTTTTTTGAATATTTTGAGTTGTGTTTTTAACTGTATGCATCCATACACAAAGAAAGAGACATGCCTAGAGGCACCTGAAAAGAACTGGCCAGTTGCCCTCCCCGAGACTTCCTGAACTGCCCCTGGAGACACATGCATTGATCCACTGGCACTGGAGGGAGCTGAGCTGAAGGTCCAGAGTTGCTTATTTGCCTTAAGTCATGTCAGATGAAATCCAGCCCTCCCTCCACCTCATCCCTTGTTAGATGTTTCCAACGCAGATCTTTCACACAGCCATAAGCCTGTGCCTGTCCCCCATGATACTGGTGGAAGAYTGGAGTGTCTTTGCAGGTCTTCCTSTGTCAGTGAGACAGTAGGAGCCAGGGTGATTCTTTGTGTGGGGACAAGTATGAGTTTTTGAACCTGTGCTAGTCCTTCCCTTGCCTGTTTGCTACGTAAGCATGGGACAAAGGAAGGCAGTAATACCAGGACGTCGTTTATCTGTGGCCTAAAACAGTGGAGAAAGGAGTTAAAAATTTGAAAGTTTGAATAATGCATATGAATTTATTTCAAGTACCTTCTAATATTTACAAAATTACATGACACTTTGTTTCCTTTGTGCATTTTTTCCCCACAAGATCTAGACAGGGAGGCAAGTTTAGATTAAATAAACAACAATGAATTCTTCTGAACCTGTGCGAAAGACAGATCACCCCTGACTACCACAGAGGTTTTTTGTAAAAAAAAATAATAATTATGGGAGAGTTTTCAAGAAAATAAAAATCAAGCACACACTCTATAGAAAACTCAGACAATTTTTGATGTCATTAAAACRGAACACGCTTCTAACTTTATTTTAATAATTCATTGTTTCATAAATAAAAACCAAACAAGTGTTCAGYAGAGAGATCTCTTTAAGGGAAGAAATAATAATTTATTATTTCTTTTGTAAAAAAAGGTCTCTCTGCTGAACACACGTTTGTTTTTTATTTATGAAACAATGTATGAATTATTAAAATAAATCTGGAATTGTGTTCTGCTTAATGACATGAAAAATTATTTGAGGTCGCATATAGATGAGCTTAGCAGTGCTTCACTACCTGCAATCTTTGGTGCTATATTTTTTTAAACAAATGAACAGTTTTAGAGCATTTAATAACCATTTAATTCTGAGRTAAGTTTATTGTGATTTAAGCACAGTAATATATTCTATATGTCACCAGMTTTAAAAAAGTCCTCGTGCCAGAGGTAACAATACATAATAGAGATATGAGAAAAAACAGTTCAAATTGATTTATGAAGTTGGCAGGCTGCAAGCCATTTTGCACTGGCTGCCTTAGCTTCCTTCCYCTGCATGAGCTGAGGTGTAAGCACCTCCAAACGCTGGTAGCCGTGCCAAGTGCTGAGGCCATGTTAGTAGACACGSTACGTGCCATTTCCAGAGATACAGCCTGGCCAGCCATACAGCAGCGCCTGCCTCCTGTGCTATATTTGGAAATGAGGTTTCTGCTCCAGGGCCTCGTCCTTTGTAAAGCACTTAAGTGCATGCTTAAATGCTCATCTGCTCCGAGCCAGGAATGCTGATTCGAATGGATTCTTGGTGGCACGAAGGAAAGCAGCATTCAACCGGGGTCATGCCGTGTTTCAGCCGCAAGGATCCCAGGATGCAAAAGGGTCTGGGGGAGGAGATGGGATTGTTTACAATTCACACCACCTTCTCTGCCATCAGATGGAGACTCAGTGATGAAGAATTCCCATGGGCAATACTGACCCCAAGGATGTTGCCGATACAGCCTGGGGAGATAGGGATTTATCTCAGTATAGTGGTTTATATTTAATATAAAACTGCTTCCCACCTTCCTCACAGTTGTTGAGAGAAGGCTGCAGGTGAATCACATGTCCCTCAGGTCAGTCACTAGTGCAAGACAGTACGAAACTCAGAGGAGTGAAGGTGTTATGGAGTAGAAGCAGAGAAATAGTGCACTTTGAGAAAGGGGGAGACATGCAGAGCTTCACTGCCCAAAYCGACTTTACACACCAGCACAAATGTCAGTGCTTGGACACTACTAACATTCAGGATACAGGTTCTCTAGTCTCTCACCTACAGCACCTTTTTCCTGGCCAAAGCAGGTCAGAAAAAGAGATTTCTCTGCATTTGCAACAATGCATTCCYCCCTCCAATTATCTTGTTTCCCAATCTTTTTCCAAGTAAAATATTTCACATTCATCTGCCTCTACTTTTCCTTCTTTTYGTGGGATAGGCTATGAAGCCTTTGAGAACAAAATGTCTCCTAGGCTTTTTCTATCCATGGTTTCAGCAGATTCTAGTTCATCTTCATAAGTATTGTCTGGCCATGCTTAGGGATGGTCAGCTTTGAGGGCAAAAAAGAAATTCTTTCTCTGTTATTTCTCTTTCTTCTTTGTGCTAAGGCAGAGGTTATTTATATGTCAGACATCTCTTCATATGACTGAGATTATGAGCCACTGTTGTCATAGAAGCTGCAAGAAATCGTGACATGGTTCCCATGCAAAGTATTAAAACCTCAAAAGATAAGTCTTGTCTTTCATCAGCACCATAGCTGTCAGTGCACAGAGTTCCTGTGCTGTGGGAGGTAGTATTAACACTAAACTTTTGTGCTCATTAATTTATTCACTAATGKATGTGTGAGACTTGAGTCTAATCATATTATACTCCATCTTTAATAAGGAAGACTCTCTAGTGGCTAGAACATCCCAATGAACTGGGAAACACTAGGCTACCACYAAGCTTGTGGTGTCAGCCACATAATATCTGTCTCCATTTACTTCAGGTGAAGATAACCTTACAGAGAAAAATCTGGGACACTTTTGTGGCAGTAATACAAAAAGCTGATRACACTTGGAAAAGTGCATGCTGGTTTTTGCCAGTGGCAGCTTCAGACTCATCAGAAGCCCAGGGATATTTCTGAGTGGAGGGTTTTTCCTACCAGTGACTTACAATATTGAGAATTTATCAGGAAACAGGAACATCATTAATTCAGCATGAGTAAAAGGAAACTATTTCTTATATTTAAATTATTTTTCCATGATCCTGAAAATGGTTTTGCAGTTGATATGTGTAAAACAGAGCTGTTCTGATTCAGCTTGAAGTCATAATTTCTTTAGAGTTGCCTCACATGAAAAGTCAGAGTAATACCAGTCTACATTTCCTGGGCTGTGATTGTTGCTGTCTGCAGATTTCTTTGAGGGCCTGAGGTGGAAGGCACCATGTGGCTGTGACACACAGTTGTAAAGCTGTGATTCTGACAGCAGAATGCTAATCTGAAATGTGACTCTGGAATTACTGCTGCTGCTGCTCCTTTCTTCCCCTCCACAGTGAAATACACAGAAATCAGATGCTCCTCATTTTTTTTCCCCTATCTTCCATGCTTTCAGTTCCACTGAGGTAGAAAATAACCTAAAATGCTTCTGAAATTGTATTTTCCAAGGGATTTCCTGATGAATCAGGCTGGCCTGCTTCAAATGGGTAGAAACAGAAATCTGTCCCTTGTATGGAACAGCACAATGAGCACTTCTTTTCTGTGAACTAATCCCCCACCTCCCCTTTCAAATAACTGTATTAATATGTACTCTGGGTTTTTTTTGGGTTTTTTTTTTTTTTTTTGCTAAGTTTTTGAGTCAACTTGGAACACTGGGTGCCATCCAATTGCTAACCTTCGCCCAAAATGAGCCTTTTACACATGAAGCTGTGCATTTATGTCTGTGCTTGGTCACAAAGCTCTTCCCTACTAAGCACAGTCTAGAGGCTACAGTCAGAAAAAAAACTCTCTCCTAGTAATGATATTTGGAAAACCTGTTTGTTTTGKTTTTTTTTTCTCTTTAATTGCAGGTACCTGCACTCACCATGGACCGATGAATGTTAGCCAGCCCTATGTTGCCAAGCTGAACTGGAAAGGATTTTCCTACAAATATGGTTCCTGGACTAGAGATTACTATCCCTCTAAACCAGAGAARGAATTCTACTTGGTTGCACCATTGAATACAGATGGGAGATATTTAGAATACTACAGAATTTATAGTTCCTTTGATGATGTGCTACTGTTTAAATACACATATGAACAGAGAATAACATATGGGGAAGGAAGCGGTGCTGTCCTTTATAAAAATTTTTTGTACTATCATGCTTATGGTTCGCAATACATGGTGAAGCATGATGTAAAATCAAACRCTCAAGTTTTGAAGAAGGAGCTTCCAGGTGCTGCTGTCAGTAACCGCTTCTCTTATGCAGGCGTAGCGTGGCAGGACATAGACTTTGCTGTGGATGAAAGTGGGTTATGGGTAATATATTCAACTGAAAATAACGCGGGCAACATTGTGATTAGCAAACTCAATGAGGCCACACTTGATGTGATAGATACTTGGCAGACGAGGCAGTACAAGCCATCTGTTTCCAATGCTTTCATGATATGTGGTGTTCTTTACGCCACAAGGCCGCTGAACACTAAGAAAGAGGAGATCTTCTACATGTATGACACAAGTACTGGCCAGGAAGGCAGAATGAGTATCATTATGGATAAAAAGTTAGAGAMAATCCAGAGTATTGATTACAGCCCCACAGATCAGAAACTGTATGTTTTCAATGATGGTTACCTTGTTAGCTATGATATGACTTATAAGCCTTAGTACCCCAGGGGCATAWGCAAAAGATAAAACTGGCAGCAGCTAATATGAGAGATCCAAGGGGTCTTTAGACAATGCTACTTCCAGTTCAGAGTTCATCTGGTCTGGTGTACTCTGTGTGTGGGTATCATACAGGTACTTACATTCTTTAGAGGGAATGCCCAYTCTGACCACTAGTATTGCTGGCAGCAGTGTTTGGCACTACTGGGTTTTTTAGGTTTTGCTTGGTGTTTATGGGGCTCAGTGCTTTACAATTGTCCTGTCTCTGGGGGTAGATTCAGTGCATAGACTTAGTGCATTTTGTTTGCAGAAATAGTTGGGCACAGACTGTCTAGTGACCGGGAAGCTAATTACCCATTGATTTGAATTTGTCAGAGTAACACAGGCAAGGCACTCAGAAGCAGAATGAATTTCCACTGATCTTCATCAGAGTGAAATGAGGCCTCAGAGAAATTAATTCAAGGATTAAAATTGATTAGGAAGTAGACTTGGTCGGAAGACAGCAATTCATTTGTTGGTTGGAAGCAGTAGTATCTGGCTCAAGACTTCAGGAGGGAGGGTGAAAATGCGCTTTGCTGTGTGAGTGCTACCACAKGAAGGGGAGGCACTGTGGGAGGGACAGAGCTCACTGCCCTCAGCAGCAGTGATGCAGTGGAATAGTGGCCCCTGGCCCCCACCTGCAGCCGCCTCTGAGCAGTTCTACCCTCTCCCAAGCTGCCACACTGCCAGGCTGCCTTATTGCAGTGTCTGTGGAGGCAAAACTGAGGGTATGGCTTTCATGAATTTTCCCTTCTGTCCAACTCTGCTTCCCTTATTAATTCCATGTGCCAAAACCTGGCCTTACAAATGGTTTTACTGCATTCTAGCTATGTACTCCATTTTCCAGCCAGTGCAGTGCAAGGAACATTGTTTTCCTTTTCTTTATGCTCTTCTAAGTTTATGCAAATCCTCCCATTGACTTTATTGGCCACGAGTGGCTCCTGGTGTATATAATGCATTGCCATGGAATAACAGAGGTGTTATTTGATGTGCCTCTTTTCAACATTTTGCCATTCTGTAATTAGATTCCTGAGAGGCTCGTTAGTCTAGGCTCCAGTTTGTTCCCTGGGTAATTCTGTCTTAGAGCAAGGTAAGAGGTCTTGTGGAAAACATGAGTCTGGTCAAACTAGTGAATATATAATGTGGTTTTGCTTTTTTTTTTTTTTTTGAAGTGGGTATTGTGTGACAGTTTCTGAGTATGTGCACTATAACAATGTTTTATTTTCATCGTGTTAGAAAGCAAGCTAAAACACTGAAACTCAGAGCTCTGAAATGAAGAAAACAGTTCATGAGGTTCATTTTCTTCTGTTACATATGCAACCATGTCTGTGTCCTCTGCTAATCAAAATCAACATGTATGCAAATGATTGCTTTTGTTTTAATAAAAAAGATACTTCAAAGAATCTCAGCTGTTCCATGGAGCCATTTAAAGCTGCTTGTGATAAATAGGTAACTCCTGGGATGCAACAGGAAGCCTGGGCACCAAATATTTGAAACAAGATCACTGCGCTCATTTGGACTCTGTGTGCTTCAGTAGGAGCACTGCAAAGGTGTGAATCTGTGTGTCAACAAGTACAGAAGGGGAGATTTATTTCCCTGCACAGAAATATGTTAGCTGGTTAGGGTAACACTTCACCACTGAGCTGAGATGTTACTCAAGATATTGGAGGCAGATGAACTGATAACATGTTTTGAATCCAGGTGCTGCCACTTATCAGGTATCAGCATCTGTTTCTTGGAAACCTGTGAAATGAATTTGAAAGCCATGGAGGCGTTGGTGCAGTAATCAGATCAGGCAGTACAGGCAGGTCTGCTGTGTGAATAATCTGTAACAGACCAAATAAAGATTTGGCTGAGAAAGGAAGAAGAAAACACTGCAAAAATTAATTTTTCCCTCTTCATCTGTGTRTGTGTCAAGGAAGGTGAGCAGCTTTCCACTTATTATCAAGAAATGCCATCAGCATGGGCCTTGAGGCTCCTCAGCTCATCACCTTYTAGGGAGGGAGGCAATGTTTTCATGCAAGTGATTGATTCTGGTGAATTGACTGCAGTTCTGAAGTCCTTGCTTCAATGTCTTTAATGCTTCAATGGTTTTAAGCTGAAGAAGCACAGATTTAGGTTAGGCAATAGGAAGAAATTCTTTACTGTGAGGATGGTGAGGCACTGGCACAGGTTGCCCAGAGAAGCTGTGGRTGCCCCATCCCTGGCAGTGCTCAAGGCCAGGYTGGATGGGGCTTTGAGGAACCTGGTCAAGTGGAAGATGTCCCTGYCARTGGCAWGGGGGTTGGAACTKGATGATCTTTAAGGGCTTGGCACCAGGCTCCAGCTGTGACCACTGAGGTGGGAAGATTGTGACAGCAGCCATCTCTTCAGGGTGCCACTCAATGTCGCTGCAGAGGAGACAACCAGGCCGGACCTTGGTAGCTCAGTACTATAAGGAAGGCGGAAACATCCCTGCAGTTTCAAAACCTTAAAATACCTTGTGTAGAGGGGCTGGATCAGAATGCTTTGGTGCTGGCAAGGCTGAGCTTGTCCTTCGATTTTTGTCCTGCGCTAAAATTTCTCAGACAGCAGGTGGCAGGATGCAGTGGGGACCCACCACGGGTCTGTCAGGGCAGACCTAGTAGCCAGGGACCATCCCAGCATCCCTGCCAGGATCAGGGCAGCCAGGGGGCYCCAGGGCAGCCCCAGCACTGGGTGCTGGGCACTCCCCTGGGGACAGTCTAAGGCTGGCTTGGGACATGGTACATAACGCACATGGCTTAGCAGAGCAGGGCAGGGTTATGGGGAGCTGGATGTGGCATCCCTGGTTAGGGGCTAATGGCTCTGGGGGCTGACATGGGGTCCTGGACAGGGTGGGGAGGTGCCACAGCAGGTGGGCAMGGTGGCAGTGAGGTACATAAGAGCCCCTGGGGCACTGGCAACTGGCAGAGCTTCTGTTAATGTCATAAAAGGCTTTGCAGAGTTRTAAAAAGACCACTGTCCTTTTAAAAGCAGAAAAAAATAAAGGCACAAAATGACTTTATTTCAGCTCTTAGCCATTGACTTGGCATCTCCCCATGGAGGTTTTGGGGTCTATAAACAATATTGAACATAAATAGTTCCTGCCACAGAGGGAGGTGGAGGGGATATCTGTCTGCCTGGTGACACTGGGAACTGCAGTACAGGGACTTTGAGGCAATTTCGCTGATGAGCGGTTTTCACACCACCTAGCTYAAGACACCTAAGGCAGGAGACTCAGCTCTGATCCATGCATCAGTGGCATGTGGGGAGAGAGGGATCTTTTGCAAAGGAGCACTTCAAGAAATGGGAATTACACATCTTTTCGTTTTTTCTCTTAGGCTTGTCCTTTCAGGCCTTGGCTGAAGGTGGATCAGTAGAGATGGCTGTTAAAATCAAAGTGTTTTCTTGAGTTGGCCAACAACTTGGCTGGCTTCACTCGCTGTCCCTGCTGTCCTCTCTCCTGCTGCTGGTGCTACCTCTTCTTTGTTTGGGGAGTGYTCCCTCCTTTCCTTCCTCTTTAGATGTGCAGAAGACTTTGCCCCATACTTCCCAGCATGGGGCTCTTACTGCTTTAGTGGCTCTACACTGTTTCTTGAGAAGGTTTTTGCCTACAGTGACATAAATTGCACTCTGACTCTTTTCACTCAGACTTTTGTACGCTCACTGACCCTGTTCTGCCTGGTCCGTTCAAAGTGCAGTGACATCCTCTTTTGCCTTTTGCAGTCCTCCTTTGTCCCACCATTTCTTTAATAAGTTAGATATAAACTCTCTATTCTTTGATCYAGCTCTTTCACATCCTTTCCTCTCAGCAACCAAGTTACCCGAGCCTCCTTGCTTTGCTGCCTAAACAATGCAACAGTGCCAACCTCCTTCCTGCTCCTTTGTTACATGCCCTTCTGTTTATCCCACCTGACACTTTTCTCTGGGATGCCCTTCCCTGCACTCCTTCAAATTTCTCACAGATTTCTCCATGAAGCTCCCGATAAATTGCTCACTGGCTACAGTTAACTCGTTGCCTTCAATAGGAGCCTGGTATTTACATGCATCACGTATTCGATTAGCTGGCACACGAGCGCATAAAGCTGGCACACATAAACTCTCTTATTATTCATTCCCGTATGTCACTGCYTCACTCTCTGTTACATTCACTTGTTATGTCTTGTCTTAAACAGAGACTGCACGTTCCTCAAGCAAAATACCTGTCTTCAAGTTTGGGCTGGTAAAGCACCCAGCAAAATGGGTTGATACCTTCCTCCTCTTTCCGAGGTTCTTCTGAGAAACAAACAATAAGGAACAACAAGAGCTGGCCAGGGATTGTTGCATGCATCTGTGTTTTTGTCTGAATTTTCGTGCATGCTGTGATGTGTACTGCATATAAATTGGCTTTGAAAAGTAGGCAAACAATATGCTTCCAGACAACAGTGTAAACATTCTGTTGGAAACTGTTTCAGTAGCTATACTCACATAATGTAGCTACAATGCATCCCTAAATTTGTACCATGTGGGGTAGAATCACTTTTTCTCCTGTAAATATTTGGTTTCTTTCCCTTCTTTCTTTGCGTTTTTGTGACTGCGCAGCAGTTGTTCCCTGAAAGCCACAGRCCAGTGGCACAAATGCGAGCCATGCGCAGAGTCTGCAGCCACAACCTGTTTCTTACTGCCAAGCAACCTGTCATTTTGCAAGACTAGGAGTTCTCCTAACAGGACAAAATGCTCTCTTTGTTGATGAGTTGGGTTTGGARAGATGAGAATTAAGCACTTGCAACATGACGGTTTGTAAAAGCGAGCACGTGGGAGGGTGACTGAGTGTGTCTTCCCCTCTGCGTCCTGGGTTGCTGCCAGTTTGCAAGCTGTCAGCCATGCACTGGGACGCAAATGAAGTGAGGGAAGCTGCATGGGCAACCATTCTCTCAGCCTTCAGGGAATGGCTCCTGCCACTGGCCTACATTCTCCAGTRTGTT